CGGATCAAGTTCGAAATGGCCGACTGGCGGCCATTTTGTTTTAAAGAATTCAGTTCTGGATCCGTATCCGAGACATGTCTGGATTGATCAATTTCAAACTTCACACACACATGGTACATTGTACATCATGTCACAAATAGATATGTGCATTTGTTTCATGATCCGCTTAACAATAGCTGAATGATGGCCATTTTAAGGCCGAAAATGCATCAAAATCACGTATTTTCGCAATTCCGGAACCGGATCTCAGTCATGCATGGATGGATTTTGTTCAGATTTAGTACAATGTGTTGTACATATACAGGTGCATTTCAGTCATGATCTGCTTTGAATGTATATGTCACTCAAATATGAATGGAACGGGGACGTGTCATTGACAATGACTTGTTTTTGTTTGGTTTTATGAAAAATTAACGCTGAAATCTTGAAAATAGTCAAGGCTACATTTTGATGGGATTTATAATGGTGATAGTGAAACAAACCCAGGTCCTAGTAATATACAAATTCCAATTCTTTTATATAGGACCGTATTGATGAATATGACTACACCAAACCTTTAGAAGGACAGAAGAAAAAGGCCCTGAAAGACCATTGGAGAAAACATTCACTATCCTATGTGGATAACGGAAAGGTGAGAAATCAACATAGCAGCAATGCAAACACTTGGGGGGAGGGTTGATGATGTAAAGGTATCTCTACTCCATATTCCCCTCTCAAAGATCTGTATTCAAAATTGAAGTATAAAAATGAAATTCAAAATCAACTCGTTTTTGTGCTTTTCACGCAGTACATAAGATCACGCAGTAAATGAAAATCGCCTGTTATGAATGCTTTGACTAATGACATTTTCTTGACTTGTATTTACAGGTGACTCTTGATTACCGCCCTGTCATTGATGAAACATTGGACCAAGAAGAGTGTGCCTGGGTACCACCAAGAATCAGGTCTTACTAAGAAGAGTTTGTTTTATATTTGTACAGTAGTTTACTTGATAATATATTTTGTAGGCATCAAGGCCGTCGGCTTCGTAGTCACGAATACAACCAAGGAATTCCCAGTATAAAATCCAAAGTATGACCATTGAGGTTACCCTACCCTTGCCTAAGCAACAACTGGGTTATCAGAGTTTTTGGGCAGGGCAGTCCAAATGGGGCACAGTAGATGTTTTATAAAGTTAGATTGCGACCAGAGAACCCGTAATTTCATTACTGTAAAATCATTATTTTTAGTTTAACATAATTCTGGTTGACTGCAGGAGATGGAGTCACTGTGCATTCAATAATGTTACAATGTACATTTAATGTGCATTGTACATGTTGCATACAATCCCCATATCAAGCGACTGTTAATAATTCTATGAACAGTTGTAGCAGTACTTTGAATGCTTTATCGTTCCATCTCTTAAGAGCTCACATTGGATGAAATATCTAACAGATATTGTGTTAATCTAAAGTTACTATGATATGCA